CTGAATCTCACAAAGACAATGTTCATGAGAATCAGTCTTGTTCCTGATATTACATTCACTCTCAACTGAACCACCATCTCCGAATGCAACAGTTATATATACCTAGGTCGAGAAATCAACATGATGAATGACCTGGCACCTGAGTTACGCAGGAGGAAGAGTGGCTTGGAATGTCTTCAAGAACATTGGAGAAATAACTAAGAGGACAAAGAATCTCCAGCTACGAGCACATCTCTTTGATTCCACTGTTCTTCCTGCATTAACATATGTTTCAGCGACCTGGGCCCTATGAAAACAGGATGAGAATGCTATTTGGGTCTTTCAAAGAGGAATGGAAAGAGCTATGCTTGGAGTATCACGTTTCACTCAAATGAGAGATAGAATCTGGAGTTCTGATCTACGTCAGCGCTCAATAATCAGGGACGCTGTCTCATTTGCCAAGGCATCAAAAATCAGATGGGCTGGACACGTAATGAGGTTTAGAGACGACTTCTGGACTAGAGCCATTACTGACTGGATTCCATGGGATATCAAAAGATCGCCTGGACGCCCACCTACAAGATGGTCAGGCTTCTTCATCAAGACCCTGAATGATTGGTTTGAGGCTCTGCATGTTCCTAGAACGAGCAGATGCCATTGGGCTACACTAGCATTCAACAGGGATGAATGGAGATTCACCCGCTCTAGTAACCCGATGAGTAATGGGGTATCAAGTGATCAAGTGATACACACAAATCTAAACTAGTTGACAAAAAGGAACACTAGGCAATAAAGATTGCTTAGCTGTGCTATACATTTTTTTTTACTATATAGCAAAATGTCAATTGAGAGCATAGGTCCGCTCTAGAAAATCTCCATTAACAAGATATAGTAACCAAGTAGGAAATAAGAATACATAAGCAAATATATGTATTTATAAAATATATATTTATATATAAGAATATGTATAATATGTACATGTACATCTAAACATATATATCTATTATACATATATATTTAATCTTTGGGGCTAATAAAAAAACTACTTAAGGAGCTGGAGTGATAGTACAGTGAGTAGGGCATTTGCCCTTCCTTTAGCCAACCCAGGTTCAATCTCTGGCATCCATAAGTTCCACCAAGCTCACTAGAAGTGATCTCTGAGTACAGAGTCAGACGTAATCCATAAGCACCACCAATGTGGCCCCCAAACAAAAACAAACAAGAAGGAATATCCTCCTTAAATCTGCTAAGTTTTTACCTAAAATTTCCTATGGCTGTCTGACAGATTTAAATCTTATACTGAAAGGCTCAGTTTTGATTTTCAACTTTACTTTGGAAATGAAGACAAGATATAATTAGTCTTGGCAAGGATGTGGAGAAAATATGAACCTTTGCACCTTGTTAGTATGAATGAGAATTGGCATAGTGATTATGGAAAATAATATGGAGGATCTTTAAGAAACTGAAAATAGAAGTTCTGTAGTACACATTCCTCTTAAATTTGTATCCCTGGATACCAAAGAAACTGAAGCACTAAAATATGTAGTTCAAAAATATAACTGCTTCTGTATCCACAAAGTATTCCTCACAAAAGTAAAAACATAAAAGAATGAAATGTTTGCCAGTAAATTAAAAATAAAATAAAAACAAATGTAAAAACCCCCACAGTGACTATAGTTATTAATACTGAGTTGAATACTATAAATTTCCCTCTGAAAATAGATTTAAGGTGCTTTCATCTTATACACTCAAATGTGTGTGTGTGTGCAGACACACACACCCATAAAGAGTAATTGACAAGAAAATTATATGTTAACTAACTTGACTGTAGTAATCATTCCACTGTGTATTTATATGCTAAATTATAAATTTGTATACCTCAAGAAAATGCTGAGTTCTTTTTAAAGCAATTACCTCCATTTCAACTACTTAGAATATCTCTGATAATTCTCGCATGATTTTTCTCCAGAAGTGAACTGCAGTCCAAAATTTACTTTGCTTTTATCCTGAACATTAAAATATCTAATCACTCTATTTTCAGTATGGTTGATTTAAGTTAAATATCTAAATTGCTGAAAATCTGAAAAAATCTATTTAACCATATATGGGTCTGCAGATAAATATTAAGAAAGTAGTCATAACACTGAAACCATGAACTTGTAAGAGCATATTATATTATATAACTTTATTTGGTTTCTAAACAAGCTTGTTTTCTCACAATCTCATAATAAAGCAGAGTGGCAGGGTGTTTGCCTTGCATGCAGCTGGCCTGGCCTAGCCAGGTTCGATTCCTCCACCCCTCTTGGAGAGCCTGGCAAGCTACGGAGAGTATCTCTCCTGCACAGCAAAGCCTGGCAAGCTACCTGTGACGTATTCAATATGCCAAACACAGTAACAACAAGTCTCAAAATGGAGATGTTATTGGGCCCGCTCGAGCAAATCGATGAACAATGGGAGGACAGTGTTACAGTGCTCATAATAAAAATTACAGTCAAAACATTAAGTGGACAAATAAGTGAAACTTTCAATTTGGGAACACAATTCCCAGACATTACGTTATAATGTTTAGCAAAAACTAAAAAGTTTTAGGCATAGAATACAAAATTATATGGAATAAGAGACATAATCTTCCACTCACACTTTAAAACGTTTGTATTTCAATGACACTGTATACTAAATCTTAGATTTTTTATTTATTCAATGAATATTTATTTAGTAATTGTCCAAGAAAAGATACTGCTCTGTACTAGAGTTAAAACAATTAAAAATATATTTGGGGGCATAAATCAGTCCAATGCCATAATTGACATATTTGGTTGCCAAAAATTACTATTATGTGATAAAAAAAATTATCAAAGGATATAATGAGGATTGTGACAAAGGTAGTCCAAATTTATCTGAAAGTATAACATGGTAAGCAGACTGCTTCATTAGAAAGTAAGGATTATATTTGATTAGACATGATCTTAAAAATATAAAAATATGAGGAGTAATAAAAAAGATTAATCAAATATGCAGTTATAGCCAGAAGGAGGTTAAGCTGATAATCAAACAAAAACTATAGACTTCGGGATGTCAAAATATCTAGGCTAAATATGAATGTTCATGTGTGAAAAACAGAAGTTTGAATCAATGTGCAAAGGAAAATTATGTGAGCAAATTGCTGCTGTGAGCTTTATCTTTTGGGATAGTCAGACTCTTTCCTGGACATCATCCTGTTATTTCATCATTCTGTTATTTGTCGATTGCCTCGAGCAGGCCCCAGTAACATCTCCGTCATCCTAGCCCTGAGATTATATTCAAGGCTCTTTAGGAGAATGAGACCCATCATTGTTACTGGTATTTGGCATATTTGGTATATTTCCTGGACATGTAATGTTAAAGGAATGTCATGTTCTCAGCAAATCTTTAAACAAACAAATAAATACATAAATAGAATAAAAGAAGATAATGACATTACAGCACAGGTATGTGTTAATTGTAATTATAAGCATTATCTGATATATGCTATTTGCTACTTATTATTATATTATATTTTATTTTTATCTTTTTTTGGATGGGGAGATGGCAAACACTTGACTGTGGTCAGGATTTTCTTCTGGCTCTGTGCTTGGTGAGTACTCTTAGCTCTGAGCTTGGTGAGCACTCCTGGCCAGTTCAGGTAACAAATGTGGTTCTGGACACCTAGCCCAGGTTGGCTGCATGCAAGCAACCCACCTGCTGTACTATCTCTCCCGCCTTCTTTTGGTAATTTTGAATAGCATCGTTATTCATTGTTATCTGATTTGCTAGAATTAATGATTTAAACATTTAAGTTTAAATGATTTAAACTGTAGGAGTGACATGATCAAATGTAACTGTAGGAGAGACATGATCAAATGCAACTACCACTAAAGTTATCGATTCTGTAATGTACTGAGCATACAGTCTTTATCTACAGGAGGCTGATGATGAAATGGAGTGGGTCAGCAGTGATTTGACAAAGAAAAATAAATAATTTAAGTAATAGTAAAAATAAATGCAGAGCAATCTTATATTCTGAGTGTGAAATGCCATCAATAAGTACTTAGGTGAGAAACTAGAATATGAGCAGTGGCCTTTACTGAAACAGACAGAAATATCACAGGACCATATCTGCAACAGAAAGATGATTGTTTCAGTCAGTTTAAGCTACCAGAAAATAATTATTTTTTAAAGCAGTCTGCAGTATCAAAATACCACAAACTTGGTTGGTCTTTTTTGGGGGGTGGTGTTGGAGCCACAGTGGGCAGCAAGTAGAGGTTATTTCTCTGTGCTCAGGAGTGATCTCTGGAGGTGCTGGGAAGTCACTCTCTGGTGTCAGAGTCAACTAGGATTGCACACATGCAAGGCAAGCACTTTACTCCTTCCATCATCTCTCCAGGCCTAGACTCACAGATTGCTAAATAAGTCAAAACTACTTCTTCTAGATAATAATGCAAGTGCAGGCTATGCTAGAGAAAGATCTCTTCCTGCTTTCAGATAGCCAGTTCTTGCCTTGTCCTTCCATGGTGGAAGGAGAAAGAAGCTTTATAATAAGATCTCTTATAAAAGCACCAGTCCCATGAATGAGGCTTCAATTGTACTAGGTGGATCTAAACACTCCTGGATGATCCCTGCTACTAACCAGCACACACACATTAGGATTCCAATGACTAACTGAAGAGATTTTACACATTGTGACCATATCTGTTCCAAACTGACTACTTTGAGATATAAATGCCAGTAAGACCTTGGTACATTGTTGACTTCAATAATTTTATATGTGTACACACATATTTCAATATAACATCAAATACACTATTTCTAGAACAAGAGTTCTACAACGGTGTTGAATTATTAAACATTAAGCACTTGGAAGTAGAAAAAGCATGTGATTCAATTAAACACTATCATATTTAGTTAATTTAGGAGAAAATATAAGAAGAAAAAAGAATGGGTATATAAAATACACATACATACATATAGATAGATAAATATATAATGCTTCCCCCTTTTTTTAAAGGGGAAGAGTACAAATATGGTTCCCCACTACCATAAATTCTTCAGTCCAGTTCCCTACATTTGGCAAAATTTCAGGGGTCATAACATCCAAAGTGCAATGGTTAATCCATTGTCTTGGAAAACCACCTTCATGTTCATGGTTTCTCTCCTGTCAGGTAAGTATAGAAAGTATATATTTAAAAAAAAAACTTGGTGGTGAAGTAGAATTAAGATAAATGTTAATAATTGGAGGGAATCTTAAGGTAAAGACGGGTCTTCACACAAAATGGGAGAGCTAATGTGTCCATAACTGCATGTGACTAGATTAGAAAAAAAGGCGCATGATAGCAAAGAATAAACAAAGGTGAATATTCAGATGATAGGTATGTCTTGTCTTTAGGTCCCCAGCATCCGAGATCCCGAGAGTACCATATGATCATGCCCAAAAATGAACCATGGATGGGTAAGGTTGGTTACCACAGAGAGGAAGTGTGGCTAGAGGGCTAAAATAAATTTGATGATGAAGATTTCTTGGTTAATATTTGATAACCTATAAAACTTGTTTATATTTGATAACCTATAAAACATACTTATCTTCATTGCTTAGATGCTCATCAGAAAGAAGTATACATGGAGTCAGAGAGATAGTGGGTAGGGCATCTGTAATCCATGCAGTCGACCCGGGTTCAATCCCTGGGACCTATCAAGGTACTCTAATCCTCATCAGGAGTGATCCTGAATGCAGTCAGGATTAAGCCCTAGGCAAAATTGTGTGTGCCCCAGATCCCCACCCCGCTTCCATGAAGGAAAGAACCACTGTACTATGAGAAAGAAAACAAAAACTTTAAACCATAGTACTTTGAGATTAAAATATGCAGAGTGTAAACAACAGTGTTTGCTTTATAATGCTCATTCCCTAAACCTCTATGGATGCAAAATTTGAGGGTAGATTAATGATAAATTGTGGATGTGGCTCGCAATTCAAAAATTCTATAATTATGATCTATGAAATAAAAAGTGAGTGTTGAAAATATTGGTTTTTGCCATATATTCTATTCCCACAATAAGCAGGACTGACTTAGGCCTAAAATATACGGTCTAATGTACTCAGCATGCACTATCGTTTGTAATAGTAAGCAGTTTGCTTTATTTCTGCCCATTTTCCTCCATAGAGGAATGGGGGGGATGAGAACATGAAAAAGAAAAATTGTCAATATCTTAGATAATATTGTATACCCTACTATGTGATTTGATTTTTATAGATGGGAAATGAAGACACAATGGCAAATTTTAAACAGACCTGAAACATATTAAGAAGAAAAATGGCAACAATAAAAGGAAAGCATATATAATCTGGTAATAAAAAAAGCAATTATGGATCAAACAAAAGGAGTAGAAGTGAAAATGAAAACATATGTAAAGTTAAAAGATATTTTGAAGAGGCATTGACCAATGAAATACCAATTCTATGTGATGACTGAGTTGTTTTATACAAAGGAAATGTTGTCAGTATATGTATAGTTTTATACAAGTACTGTGGAAAAGTATTCTTTGGTATTATAAAAAACACTTTACATGATCTTCGAATAAATCAAGGAAATTTCTCCATTTATTACATGAAAACAGGTGATTTAATCTTGCTTGACCTTGCATGATCAGCCTACAATTAATCTTGATGTGATATACTATTTCTTGCTTGTTTTAAATGTAGACGGTTTATAATTTTTAATTAACAAAACACAGAAGAATACATATAAAGACATGTAATATGCCTTTTCATAAAAATTTTTGAACACTAAGAAAAATTAACAAAAGGGCTTTATATTTAAACTACTGAAAATAGAATCTCTGACTATACTAATTATGTGAAAATTAATTCCTCACATTCTAACATAAATATCTTTTACGCTATCTAAACCTTACTTATGAAATAATAACTCTGTGGAGAAAATATTCTGCTTCACTGCCCTTTATGAAGAAAATGCATTATTTGAATTTCGATAGATCAACCTCCTTTTTTTTATAAACTTTAATTCTGTTGGAATAAATCTTTAGGATATAATTTAACTTAATTGTTCTCCTGTCATTCATAAACTACTTATTCTGAACTCATATAGTTTATGATGTCAGCAGAAATTAAATTATACCCTTGTGTTCAGTTGGGAATCATTTAAAAAGATAATCTGACATCAGAAAGTAAAAATTGTCTTTTTCTAATATAGGATAATTGTAGCTCATTATGAAAATGGAACAAACTACTGACATTCTCATTTTATATTTAAAATAACAGTATGTGAGGACTCAGATGATTTGATAAAATGAGTTTGAAAGAGAAAGTACTATAACCTACTTACAAAACCTGTAACAAAATCATAAATAACTCAAAAGAATTTATAAATACACGTTGACTTATTACTCTCATTAGAAACATATAAATTTATTTTAAAACTCAGAATATTGTTTCCTTTAAAAGCCACAAAGGGAGGGGGGATTAAGACAGAATTGGAGGTGAGAAAAGGCCAGTGATGAGGGTCTTGGTTGGGGTACAGTGACTTCCTGCACCAATATCAGAAATTATAACTCAATTCTAATATTACCTACACCATAGTAGTCTCTCAAAGGAAAGAAATCTTTCTGTATTATTTCTAGATGAATCATCCAAAGTTTAATTGGTGACTCTCAGTTGGGTAAATATAAAACAATCATCCAATCTTTCTCTTTAAATTCAGCATTTACATATTTTCTTGAGGATTTGAAGGAACAATTAACCAGTTGCCACAGATTGTTGAATGAAGTTAATAACTCAGTCTTGCAAATAGCACAACAATATGCCCCTATTCAGTTGCGAGATGATTAGTACTTATTGATAGGCAAGATAGATCTTTTAACAATAAAAAAAATAAATTCATCAAAAAAATGGGGAGAAGTGGTACACAGAAATGTTCTTATGAAGACATATACATGAGCAATTGATATATGAAAAAATTCTGTCCGTGACTTATCACCTGAGATATGCAAGAAAAAATAAAAATGAAATACCAACTCACAAAAGTGAGATTAACATACATAATAACAAATTAAAACAATTACTGTTAGTGTGGATATAGAAACCCTCATCCTCTGCTGCTCAGTTTGTTGACCTGTTCATTATATATATAGAATATAATACAGCACCTCAAAAAAAAAAAACTAAGAAATGAGCATCTATAAGGTACAGCTATTTTTCAGTATCTACCTCAAAGTCTCTAAAACATGATTTCAAAAAAAAATGTGGTCTCCTGTGTTTATTGCAGCATGAATCACAATAGCCAATATCTTGAAACAACTCAGGTGTCTACTAACAGATAACTGGAAAAGTGTGCTATACATACACAATGGAATACTGCGCAGTTATAAGAAATTCTGAGATTATCTGGCATGTGGCTAGACCTGAAGGGTGCACGCTGAGTGAAGTCAGCCAGAATAAAAGGGACAGGTCAGAATGATTGCTCTCATATGTGAGAGATAAAGAAACACAGAGCATAATATGTTGATCCCTTTCAAAAGCAACAGGATCAGCAATTGATATGGGCCAGATATCACCTCCAACAGGGCAATAATCCCATTTGCATAAAGCACTGTCTGCTCACACCACCAAAACATAAAAGGTCGGCTGAATTTCTAGACACCAAGTATATTATTATTTTAATGGCAGAGTTAGAAGCATCAAAAAATTTTTTTTAATTTTTATTTGTGAAACACAATGAGGTACAGTTGTAGACTTAAAAATTTTTGTGCTTGGGTTTCATTTATACAATGATCGAGTATCCATCCCTCCACCAGTGACCATTCTCCACCACCAAAGACCCCAGTATCCCTCCCACCCACCCCCGCTCCATCTCCCTCATCAGACCCCACCTCTGGGGCAGGGCATTCCCTTTTGTTCTCGCTCTCCTTTTGGTGGCTGTGGTTTGCAAAAGAGGCACTGAGTGACAATCATGTTCGGTCTATAGTCTACTTTCAGCATGCATCTCCCAACCTGGGAGGATCCTCCCAACACCCTTTACTTGATGCTCCCTTCTTTATCTGTGCTGTCTTTTCCCCTAGCATGTGCCAAGCTATGGAGTGAACCTCTGGGTACTTATCTCAGCTATTCTTGGGTTTAGTCTCCTATTTTGTTACTTTATATTTCCCAGATGAATGCAATCTTTTTACATTAGTACCTCTCGTTCTGACATTTCACTTAGCATGATACTTTCCAGATAGTACCACTTGTATGTAAATTTCATGACTTTGTCTTTTATAACAGCTGCATAGTACTCTATTGTGTAGATGTACCAAAGTTTCTTTAACCAGTCATCTGTTCCTGGGCACTTGGGTTTTTTTCCAGATTTTGGCTATTGTGGAACTAGCACAGTGGTAGGGCGTTTGCCTTGCGCTCAGCCAGCCCGGCCAAGCTGGGTTTGATTCCTCCACCCCTCTCGGAGTGCTGGCAAGCTACTGAGAGTATCTTGCCCACACGGCAAAGCCTGGCAAGCTACCTGTGATGTATTCAATATGTCAAACACAGTAAAAACAAGTCTCAAAATGGAAACATTACTGGGCCTGCTGAGCAAATTGATGAACAACGGGAGGACACTATGTTTGTTTCTTTGGCTATTGTGAATAGTGCAGCAGTGAAAATAGAAGTGCAGGTATCATTTAAACTGTACTTTTTTGCCATTCTATGATATATTCATCTCCCTTTGCGATAGCACAGCGGTAGGGTGTTTGTCTTGCATGCGCCAGCCCAGCCAACCCCAGTTCGATTCCTTCATCCCTCTCGGAGAGCCCAGGAGGCTACTGAGAGTATCTCACCCGCACGGCAAAGCCTGGCAAGCTACCCGTGACATATTCAATATGCCAAACACAGTAACAACAAGTCTCACAATGGAGACGTTACTGGGCCCACTGGAGCAAATCTATGAACAACGGGAGGACAGTGCTACAGGATATATTCCTAGGAGTGGTATTGCTGGGTCAAATGGGAGCTCAATTTCTAACTTTTGGAGAATCGTCCATACTGTTTTTCAAAAGGGCTGAACCAGTCAGCATTCCCACCTGCAGTTGTAGGAGGATCCCTTTCTCCACACATCCGCGTCAACACTGGTTGCTTTTGTTCTTTTGAATGTGCGCCAGTCTCTGTGGTGTGAGATGATATCTCGT